GGGGGGGGGGGGGGGTTATAACGGGAGACGTCACAGGATCGAGCCCGCAACGGATCACTGCAGCCTCTGGTACTTATTGGTCGCCTTTTGAACTGTAAACCACGTCTCCTGTCCATGTCTCTCTCTCTCCTCCCTTTCTCTCTCTCTCTCTCTCTCTCGCTGTGTGTCTCTGTGTCTCTCACTCACTCACTCACTCAGCCTCGCCTCTCTCCCATCAATCCAACGGTGCAGGACCCGCTTGCTCGTCCGCCGGTTACCGCAAGGCAGACGATGAGATGTCCGGCACCACGTCCCAGGCGGATCCCGTAGACGCCACGGCGCGGACTGTGCTGCTCAACCGGCCCCAGAACACCAAGTTCTGCGACAACCATGTCAGGTGAGTGCTTCCTCTGGAGCTCTCGAAACAGCACTTCACAAAAACCACAGTAAAGGTAAAAACATCACTTTGTTTACAGTCACACAACTTACTTTATCAACCTGCAGTCGTCTCCGGGCTTATAGGGATTTACCATCTTGCTTAAGAGCACTTAAAGAGCGTGGATCTTTAACCCAGAGGTGCCTGGTTGCAGGACTTCACAATCAGTTTATCTTCCTGGTAAAGTTAACCATGTGCCACATTTAGACTTTGGACCACAGAAGTTTCATTTGTATTTTCTTCCTCTTAAAGTTCCCCTTTATTTTGGTTTAATCGAGATAACTTAGAAATGTTGTTTCCCTATTATAATTGCTCCAGTTTTAAAGGGGGAACTCCTTGATGACAACATTTAATAACTCACCTGTTAAATGATTATTTGCTGCTCTTCAGCAATCCTTAAGGGTGAAGTCTGGCTTATCATCACACATCACCACCGTGTTGCTTAATCAATGCGTCCTTGTGTATGTTTAATGCTGCCAATACAAGAACGCAACCTGCATAGCTTGTGGACAGTGTTGTAGCCGTGCCGATTAGGTCAAAGGTGCATGAATCTGTGTTTGAGAAAATTATAACCGGGGCATTGCAGAATGAGATTTCTCAGGACTCTTTCTCAGGAATTTCTGGATGTGTGATTCTCTTAGTCATGACTTTCTGTGGTGTGAGCCGCTCAGGCAGCTAGACATCTTTAAACACACTTCACTAGAGTATTATTAATTCACATATTGTGCTTGGTGGCTGTAGTTCAACTCTGACGCACTGTAAAGAATAACGTCTATCAACATCAGTCCAGCTGTTGTTTGCTTATCTGTGGTCATTGATATGTAGTCACAGTCATTCAAACAACATTCGTTTGATTTAGACCTGATTTCCATTGTCTTAATCTTTTTTATTTTTCTTGTTCTGATGCTGGTCCCATAGAAGCACTGTTATCCTGTTCCGAGAGTGAAAGCCTCGTTATTAGTCAGCTGACATTCAGTGGTCCTGCTATTACTGTCCAGAGATTCGATTTCACTTTCAACGGAGCCCATTTCAGCCTCACAAATAAGATTAAGGCAGGTATCCCCTATCTCAACTGATTGGATCATGCATGGAGTCCCACCCCCACTGCGCTCTGATTGGAGAGTTTGGGAGTGCTGCGCTCAAGAGGTGTGCCCTCTGATGTCCCTGTGTTCCTGTAACTCTTCAGTTTATGTTTTAAAGGTTCAATAGCCTTATTGATTTTCTGAGATTAAAGCCTTGCAGCTTTTATCTGTATACTCAACTCCATTCCCCCAGGCCCCTCGCTTCAATATTTCACCGTGTGCTCTTGTTTTTATACAACACGAGGCAGTAATGCTCTCCTGTGCACAAACGCAGCAAAGTGTCTCACACGTCGCTCTTAGGAAAACACATTATTGAGAATCTCTACCTGACTGTGTGTCTCCGCTGAAGGGGTTAACTCCTCTCTGACTTTAGTGTTTTCTTTTGGCCTTTAAATGTATGATCTTTTTTTTTTTTGTGATTAAAAACACACAAAAAAGGCAGATAGGAGCAGCAGGAGTCTCACCCCTGCTGTGAACAGCTGTTCACACCACTGGCAGGCTGGACATCTATAGTATGAAAAATAGCCAGATGTTTTTGACTTTGACTTTTTTTTCTTGATCCAGTGGAAACTGGGTGTCGTTAGTGTGTGTGTGTGTGTGTGTGTGTGTGTGTGTGTGTATGTGTGTGTGTGTGTGTGTAATCTGGTATCACTTGTATTTGATTAGATGAAAGCAGCTTTATCTGTTGGATCATGGGTGTATCACTGACTCTTTCGTATGCAGAGCATCAGTGTCATGAGAGTGTGTGTGTGTATATGTGTCACAAACTGCTGCTGGCCTGCTTTGTGCGTAACGTCCTGCTCTTTGAGTTTTGTGACTTTAAGTACGGCAGGTGGACAAAAAGGGGTATAGGTTCATTTCCTCGGAGATTCTGAGCTGTGATGGTGTGTTTTGCCATTCAGTGCATGCACTTTGGTGTACTCACTCACTCACAAACACACACTATCCATTAAACAAAAGCTATTACAGAAACTTTTCACTCAAGGCACACGGGTAGGCCTTGACTTCAAGGTTGACATTTTTATTTTTGGCCCCTCTAAAAGCTCTTACGGTAGCTCCTGGCTATAACAACGCTAATCAATACAGTTGTCTGATCAATACAGTTGATTGACGGACAGGTGGAGGCTGCCAACGTTCCTTGCACCTATTTTCTGGGGATCTGGGTCTAAATTTAGTTTTTTGGATTCAAAGTATCAGTCTATTTAAAGGTTTCTGATGAGTGTGCAGCCTGTAATGGCTTTATTTGCCCTCTCTGAGCACAATTGAGTGTTTGCTATAGATTTTCAAGTGCTGCAATATTAAAACCCAATGGCAGTCAGCCTGTAAGTTAATGCTGCTTGAGCATATCAGGTTAAAAAATCGTTACCCCACAATTAACTCATGAATTCTAGCTTTTACTAATGCCTCTGCCTCTGTCTGAATTTAACCATTGTATAAAGTCTCTAAACTCCTTGTCTTCTCCTGCAGCACCACCAAGTATGGGGTTCTTACCTTTCTGCCCCGGTTCCTCTATGAGCAGATCAGACGGGCGGCCAATGCCTTCTTCCTGTTCATCGCACTCATGCAGGTAAACCCCTACGCACGGAACCACAACAGTGGTTCTGCTGTTGGTTTGTCCTCAGCTTGATGCTGTGGCCCACACAGGCTTCAGAGATCCTGAACAGTCTGTTTTTGAAAACCTCCCAGCGTTCCCACATGCCCGGCTATTTCTGCAATACTGTGTTATCGATTTTTCAGAGATGTTCTCTGGTTGAAAAAAGTGAGGATTTGGCAAAAAGGAACACAATAAAAGTGTAATTCAAATCATGATTCTCATAGAATATGACTTTACAAAGGGGCCACTTTGCAGCATTGATACATCAGTATGCATTTATTCGTTATAACTTATTTACTTGCTTGCGCAGTTGAATAATGCATGTTGAAGGTATTGATCATTTCCCTCACAGCAAGTTTATTCCGAAAGCTGCTCTCAGACATGCACTGATGTTCCGGCATTTCCCTGAAATAAACAAATATCTCAGGATGCAAAAGAGGCGTCATAAACCTAGAAGATGCTGACAAAGATGTTGGCTTGAAAAGACACAGAGATTCAAGAGCTTTTGGCTTTAGGGCAGACACGTTTTCGATCTGCGGTTTACAAAAACACTTGCAGTGCAATTTATGCGTCATGTCCTGCCTCCTCCAGCATGATCTACCTTGGTGCCACCCCTTGCCTGAATGTTTCGGAAATGTTTGTTACGAACAATCTCTGCTGCGTTCTTCATGTGTGCAAAGACAAAGTTTGGAAAACATCTAAACCCAGTTTTCTGGATATTTTCTGGAGACACGTCTGCTGCAGCACACATCTGTTTGAGTTTTAAGTTAAGATCACAAAAAAAGTTGTAAGATAGTAAAGTACAAAGTTCTGTGGTTGCTACCTGATAAATTTTTTTTATGGTTGTAGGAGAAGAGGGGTTTTTCTTTTTCTTAAGAAATCTCATCCCGCAGCCTTGTGTGATCTGACACATGGGTGACATTAGGGTGTTTAAAACAATATCTGTCTCAATAGCTATGCTATCCTTATCATTGTCATTGTGCAAGCCGGACCAGTTATTCAGAAATGCTACCGTGTATCTGCTTAATCTCTCTGCTGTCACTATGATGATCCCTCTTGGCCGCCTCAGGCCACAGCACTTGTACTGTCACCAGCGATTTCTGAGTGCTTCCTCTCTTTCCTCCCATCAGCAAATCCCTGATGTATCCCCGACCGGTCGCTACACCACGCTGGTCCCGCTCATCTTCATCCTCACCGTGGCCGGGATCAAAGAGATCATAGAGGACTATGTGAGTATCTGCAGCAGCGACGAGTTTGGTCAGTCTGTTTGAAGTAGGAAGGAGAGAAGGAGGCATCTAATGGTTCTCCTGAAAGCTAATGCACCTTCGTCTTCATCTTCACAGAAAAGGCACAAAGCAGACAACACAGTCAACAAGAAGAAGACAACAGGTATCGTGTGTGTGTGTGTTTCACGGTGTGCATCAGCTGTCTGCACTTTTCCATGAGTGTGCTTGTATCTATTTGTGGGGTCTTTGTTTTCCTTTCACGACTGAGTGAATGGCTCCTGCCTGTCACTCACTGTAGCGCAGGCCACACGGCCCCAGACAAAAGTTTAGCTGCTATGAATACTGTATGAGAGCTGCTCTATAGGCTGACTGACTGATGGCTGTGTTGTCCCTGTCTCAGTGCTGCGGAACGGAGCCTGGCAGACTGTCATCTGGAAACAGGTATCGCTTACAGCACCGACTTCATCCATGTTGTTCTCTCACTCATCATATCTCTGCTCTCTCTCTCTCCCACCACCCTGCCCCTGTTCAGGAGTGAGTTCAACATTTTTAAAAAACCTGACCAATATGGCTTTTCAGGGGACGATGCAAATTTCCAATTGAACAATTTCTCAAAACAGTAAATTTATATGACCTAGATTTCAGTGTTTACCATCCCTAGATCGAAGGCGCTGTTTGATCAGTGGCACCAAACATTGAAGATAATGCTCTGTAATAATTGCCTGCAAACTGAAGAACTGGAAATGAAAATAACGGACCATGATTCCTAACATGTCGTTTTCAAACCCTTATGAAGGCTTGATATTTTACTGTTTAACCCTAAACGTAATTTCACAAAACTATAAATCCAAAGAAAACAGAACCAAACATATATTACTTAGATTAAGAAAATAAACATACGGTTTGCTAACATACAATAAAAACATGAATGAAGATCTTTTTATATCTTCGAACAAACGACTATATTTCTCATATCGGTGCACATTTGCAAACATAAATGCAGATATGATTTCTCTATGAAAGGCTCATATTGGTCACTGTTGGTCGTCCTCCACTGTACCTACTAGAGGAAAAAAAGTAAATGAGCGAACAAAACTGTATCAGTTAAATTAGAGACATTAAAATGATAATGTAAGTTTGATTCTGAATAGATTACACCCCTCAGAGTCTGTTTTTCTCTTTTAATCTCACCTGTTGTGCAGTGATCACATATGCTCTCTGCTCTTTGTGTCCGCACCGTGGTCACTCTTGTCTCTGTTGGCTCGGCGTCTGTCTGTTTTGGCTCTTTCACATTAAAATGAAACTCTTCCAATCGCACAATCTGCCAAAGTAAAAGACTTGGGGGGGGGGGGATAAACTCAGAGTGTAATGTTCCTTCTCAAAAATTGAGTGGGAGCTTTTCCTTGAATGTTCTCATTAACTGAGTCCAGCTGTGAACAGCTTCTGCTCCAGCAGATCAAATCTGAGTCCATGTTATGAAGGTGACAACAGGAGGGAACAGGGAATTAGACCCATTTTTCTCCAGGGTCAGTGCAGCTGAAGAGATTTGCTCCAACCTGTGCTTCATGCATGATGTTTGATTACATGGTGGAGAGTGAGTAGAATAGTGCTTATGGAAGAACCTGTTTCGCTGTCTATAACACTGCAGTGAACATTACCCATGATGCCAGTAGTCAGGCTTCTGTCCCCTGGTGTGTTCTGGGAAAACAAGTCAGGCTGCAGCTCTCAGGAGACAGAGCAGCCTGAAGAACCAGGTTGAAAAGTTTTACTGCTCTGATGTAGCACACTGTGTCTGGGCTTGTGCCTTTTCCCATTCCTCAGATAACTGATGTTATCATATACAGTAGATCAGTCTATGTTACGTGGAGCTTTGACCTTCAAGCTTTAATTTGTTCTTTTTCCCAGATTTGCGTTTATTCAGATTGTGTTTCAGATTAAATTAGGTTGAGCTGTGATTTCCTCATTTCTCTTCTTCTCTCCTCTTCCTCTTTTCTCTCTCTCTAATCCACGTGCTTGTAAAATCTTCCTCTGTTCTGCCTCTGTTACAGTCTCATGAAAACAGTTGAAGCTCTGCACCGCTGTGCTCACTGTCACTTTATCTCACGTCTCTCTCTATTGGCTGCCTCTTGGCTGGTCACTAACTAACTTGCTATTTTTGCCCCACCCTCCCCTCTTTCTCATTCTCCCTCATTTCTTTAAAATGCCTTCTGCTGTTTCACCGCTGCATCCTGGCCACAAGGTGGCAGTTGGAGACATAGTGAAGGTGACCAATGGCCAGCACCTTCCAGCTGACATGGTCATAGTGTCCTCCAGGTCAGAGTCTGTGTGTTTGTCTGTTAATGTGTCCACGTTAACATCCTCCTAACATTTGTTGTGTGTTACATTACTGCAAATAAAGATTTTTATTAACGTAGACTGTATAATAATGTGCTTTAGTGAAGTGAAGCCGAAGTGTCTTGATCGCTTGCTGCACTAAAGGTCACGGGACCTCGCTACAGTGACTCCATCCACCAATTGCTACTGTTACAATGTAGCAGCATTCGTATCTTAAATATTTAGGCTTCAGTTTTCTACTGTGTTTGTTTAATTGCCTGATTATTTGGCATATAAAATGTAAATAAAATAATGAGGAAACTTGAGGAGGAACGTATTGTAAAATTGTTCAACAGTCAAAAGAGATTAATTTAAATTGAATACAATTATGTAAAGGATATATATTAATATATGAGAAACTCTGTGTTCAGTGTGTTAATTCTTAAATATTCAAAATTATCATTAATTTCCATCCATCTGATGAATGAACCATTTTCAGCACTAAAACACTTCCCTCTGCCTCCTCTCCCCAGTGAGCCACAGGCCATGTGTTACACTGAGACCTCGAACCTGGACGGAGAAACAAACCTGAAGATCAGACAGGTACGACGTGTGTCAGATTCACAGTGCAGGGATTCAGCCTGGAGTCAGTGAGGAACTTCTACTCCTGCCTGCTGTCAATATTTCTTTCTGTTTGAAAAAAATGCCCCTCAGTAAACGTTCCTCGACTTGACTTGTCATGTGTAATATTTCTCCAGGGTCTCCCACTCACAGCCAGCTTTCAGACGCTGGAGGATTTGATCGCCCTGTCTGGTCGCTTGGAGTGTGAAGGACCCAACCGACACCTGTATGACTTCACCGGCACGCTGCGGCTGGAGAACCACAAGTGAGACACATACAGTTGTTTCCCTTATATGGATTGAGAATCACAAATTGTCCGATTGATAAATACAGTATTTAAATAGTGTCTTTGTATAAGATAGATTTATCTAAGAAAGTAGGATAAAAGTCATTGCACATCATAAAAACCATATCCAAAACAGTATAGGCAAAAGAAAGCACAATTAAAATTTACTATACACACTGATTTCCTTCTGACTGCAGATATTTTATTCATAAACCACCTGAAACATGCTCATCATTTCTCATTTTGTCCTCAGTCCTGCTCCTCTGGGCCCAGACCAGGTGCTGCTGCGTGGCGCCCAGCTCAGGAACACCCAGTGGGTTGTGGGAATTGTTGTCTACACCGGCCATGACTCCAAACTGATGCAGGTAAAACCCCCAGTGTCTTGTTTGAACTCAGTAAACTGCCTTTAATCATAGCATCTTTTTTTCTTTGTGGACTTTGCAGGATTAGTTCAGAGCTTTTAATTCACTGTTTGAAGATTTCATCACTGGGAGCAAGTTTGACTTATCTTCACTTCCAGTGTTGGGATTACTAATGCATTCCTTAAAAAAACTTTTAGTATTCCATGTTTGTATTTACATGTATGTCTGACACATTCATTTATCAAAACAAAAGAGAGTAAACAGTCCTGCCAATTTACTTTTTTTATAGACACTATTGTAACGAGAGCTTGACTGATTGCTTTAAAAAAAACTCCACATTGGTCAGGCTCTAATATTAACTTGATAAGTCTTCCAGTATTAGTGTGTTTCTCACTGGTCATATTCACTGACCTCCCAGAATTCCACCAAGGCGCCACTGAAGCGTTCTAATGTGGAGCGAGTGACCAACATGCAGATCCTGGTTCTGTTTGGAATCCTGCTGGTCATGGCTCTGGTCAGTTCTGTTGGCGCTGCCATCTGGAACAGAGAACACACCGAGGACGCCTGCTGGTACCTGTCCCGGGCCGGTGAGAACACACACACACACACACACTTCACTTCCGATCTCCTCATAGTAATTTAGATTAATACTCACATTACAGGTCAGTAAATGAAATGTATTTTTGCATTTGCAGGTGACATCTCCACAAACTTTGCATATAACCTGCTAACATTCATCATCCTGTACAACAACCTGATCCCCATCAGCCTGCTGGTCACCCTGGAGGTGGTCAAGTTCACACAGGCTCTCTTCATCAACTGGGTATGAACCACTGTCACTGTTTTTACATGTGATCAAATATTTTAACGAGCAATCAAACAATTCACGATTTTCCTTTTTTTGTTTGTTTTTGTTGTTTTTCCTCAGGACATGGAGATGTACTACTCAGAGACAGACACACCGGCCATGGCTCGAACGTCCAATCTAAACGAGGAACTCGGCCAGGTCAGTTTCAAAAGGACTTAATAATTAATAATAATAATGATGATAACAATAAATAGCCAATCATACAAAATGTGGTTAACAAGATAAAATGTGGCAAAAAAAGACAAGTGAAATTTAAAATTTTAAAGATTGTATGATTTTATAGAACAATCATCACGTGCACTCTCAATTATTACAGACAAGTCAATATGTGCTGTGTTTGATTTTTAGCCTCTGTCGTTTGTTTGTCTTTTTCAGGTGAAGTATCTGTTTTCCGACAAGACGGGAACTCTGACCTGTAACGTCATGCACTTCAAGAAGTGTACGATTGCAGGAATAACATACGGGTCAGTCACCTCCTTTATTAAACTACATCTTACCTATTAGCTGTATCTGTAAGAACATTTCTTCCTGTGCATGTCTGAACTTCAAGAAATCTCTAATCATAGTCACCGACTAACTTGTAAAAAACGACCTGTTGTTAATTCACCTGATCCAACTCCTGCATGTTCTCACAAATGAACTAATCGACTCCTCTGCTTATTCTGAACTGATTCTTTCTGTAACACAACCTCATTCATCACTGCAGCCACTTTCCTGATCTCGACTGTGATCGTTCTATGGAGGACTTCAGGTAGGTCACCTCCGCCTGCTCCTCTTTCTACTATTCCTTTTCTTCATTTTAGACACGCCGTGCATGCTTTGGTTAGAACAATAGTAACTACACAGATCCAGTAAAATCATGGTCACGATTTATTTTTTGAGTCTCTTCACACAATATCCCAACAGAAAATAACTGAAATTAAATAATACGGTGAAAGTAGCACGTTGTCCATATAAAGTCTCTTTACATTATAAACAATACAGTGCCTCTCAGACCACGTGTGAATTTATTTTGTAGGTGTTTTACGTGGATAGAAGTTATTTTGTGCCTCCGACCCACAATGCCCCAGCCCATCAGTCTATTACCCAGTTACCTTTCTTATCAAAATAAGATCCCCCTTTCAAAGTGCACACAAGATTTAACCAAAACCACTTGATTTCACCTTATTTATAACATTTTCAATTTTTATAAAGCTGAATAGAAGAGTTACCATGAATTCAAGATGGAAACATAAACAAACATTTCAATGAAACTGTCATTGAGACAGTTACACATAGACAAAGGTTTTTTTTTGTTTTATCCTGTACTGGCATTTGAATTCCACATATTTAAATAATATAAATGATTTATTTTCTATACAGTAACTAACTCTTCTTCTACATTTTCTGTCTCACAGCAATCTGCCGTCCAACAGCAATAACTCAACAGAGTTTGACGATCCGGCCCTCATTCAAAACATTGAGAAGAACCACGTAGGTGTCTCTGAAGCGTTTCAAACATTTATTTTATTTGAAGTGGATTCTGCCAAAAAAAACACCTGAGTCCGGCATTAAAAACTGTTTCTGCTCTGATTGCGTGTGTTTGTGTGTTCAGCCCACGTCGCCTCAGATCTGCGAGTTCCTGACGATGATGGCGGTGTGTCACACGGTGGTCCCAGAGAGAGAGGACGACCAGATCATCTACCAGGCCTCGTCTCCAGATGAGGGAGCTCTGGTCAAAGGGGCCAAAGGACTCGGCTTCGTGTTCTCCGCAAGGACGCCGCATTCAGTCATCATCGAAGCTGTAAGTGTGAATGTGTGCACTTTATTACAGTAAAAGATGCCTCTCTGTAACGGCAGTAAAAATAACAAATTTGGTTTATATTTCAGAGAGGAAAAGAGATGAGCTATGAGCTGCTGAACGTCCTCGAGTTCTCCAGGTAATTCTCTCTTAAACGTTCCCCTCAGTCAGAATAAATGAAGAAATAATTCTTTGATTAAAGGCTGCTGTAGGTTTTTAAATCTGAACCCACTCTTTCCTTCACAGTAATCGCAAACGCATGTCTGTGGTGGTCAGGACCCCCGACGGAAAGCTCCGGCTCTACTGCAAAGGAGCTGTATGTTTCTGTTACTATCATGTCTCCACACTATCATTCACGTGGCGTTTGTGTTTCAGTCCTCAGTCATGTCGTGTTGTGTTTTTGCAGGATAATGTCATTTTTGAACGTTTGACTGAGGCGTCCCAGTACAAAGATTTATCCATTGCTCATCTGGAACAGTTTGCCACTGAAGGTAAGAGGAGAAGAGGAGAGAGAAGAGTCTCCTTTTTCACTAAACACTTTTTTTACTAGATGTCTACCTCATAATATTTTAGACGATGCCTTGATTTTAAAGACTTTTTTTTGTGTAATCTCCATCTTCAGAATCTCACATAGCTTTGATGGTCAAATGTTATAAGTCACATGATGTAAGTTCAAGTCATACTTGTTTTAAATATGTGTCGACATCAGACTTAATTGATCAAAACAAATGTCCTCTGTATTTTTGCAATAATTTTAACGTAGATAACTGAGGAATTAACATAAGCTGCTTCCAGATGTGCAGTGAACTCTGGTTATTGTCCTGAAATTTTCCAGAGCGGCTGAATGTGAGAACACAAATATCCAAGTCAATTGCTCCGGACATTTTTCTGAACATTTTCTTCCAGTGCCCTGATCAAATTTCCAGAAAATGTCTGAGTGAGCCCATGTTAGAATGCAGAAGGAATTTTATTTCTGAGTGTGTTGATGATGTTTCTCCTACGCAATGGACACAAAACAGAAAGAATAAAAATATTAAAAAAAAAAAAGATTTGACATTACTTGAGCTCACTTCAATTTAATATTTAAATTACAAAGGACATCACCATTGTCTCCGTGTTGCCTCCAGTCTGTCTGACTCTTCACTTTCCAAATTGAAAAAAAACTTTGGTGCTCACACCCCCACTTTTTTCTGTTCTGTGACCACTCTGATTGATTGTCTCTCTCTCTCCTGCGGATCCACTCAGGCCTGCGGACTCTGTGTTTCGCCTACGTGGACCTGGAGGAAGGCGCCTACCAGGAGTGGCTAAAGGAATACAACCGGGTCAGCACCGTGCTCAAGGACCGAGCTCAGAAACTCGAGGAGTGTTACGAACTTCTGGAAAAGGTAAATGCACCTTCTGTTTGTGAGTGAGATGTCTTGGTTAGAAGAAATTTTAACAGTTCAACATTTTACCCTTTAAAAAAAAATGACTTAAAGGGGAAAAAATCGTGAAAATCGAGTAGAAAGACTAAGATTTTGGCAATGAGTCATTTTCAAGGGGTAATGTGTAGCATCTTGTTAAGTTACATTTTATTATAAGGTTTACAAATTGAAATATTTAATCTTTTGGCTCATCAGCAACACATTATCATAAGTATCTGGACTTTGAAAAGAAGCTGAATAAAGAACCACGCAGACCAGGAGGGAGCTACCTCTTTTGTGGAGGAGGAAATGTTTATTAGTGGTCGACCGTGAGCTTATCTGTGTCCGCAGGATATTCAAAGGGCTGTCGTAGTTTTTCAAATAACAGTGATATTGGAGAAGGAGTGCACAAGTTGTCCTTGCTGATTATTTCCTGAAAACAAAACTTTTCTTTCTTCTGATAACATCATGAATTACATCAGGATTTGTTTTCTTCAATGTGTGATTTAAGTTTTCTGTGTTAGACAGTTTTATTTTATTCAATTTCCTTCTGCAGCAGATATAAAACTGAATTGAGAATTGATGGATTAATATGAAATTGGAGTAGAGAGCTGAAACAACATGAAACTCCTCTGCATGCACACTTCATATTTGCCAGCAGGGGGCAGAGTGTGTCCATCATGTCCTTCACTTAAACAACCATGGTGTCACTTCATTATTCCTCAAGTGCTTAACTTACAAAACACACTCAGAAGCTTATTCATGCTTAAATGATCTATTTTCTTTAATCAATTAAAAACACACATACTGGACTTCATCATGGTTGACCACTATGGACATTGTATGGTGGTTGGTCAAAGAAAACACTGATGTAGTGATTACTCAGAGTTCAGAGTTATTCAGCAGAGAATCAAACTTATTGGTGGGAACACCGAAGCTGTCGAGGTGAGAAAAGTAAATGAAGAGCAAAAAAAAAAAAGGAGGAAGCAGGAGGAGGAGGGGGGGAGCTCAGACTGGGAGACCACAAGGGTAATTACCTGCACCAGCCTGCCAAAAGCCCCATAAAACTGGAGTCAACAACACAGTAGTGTTAACTTGTGTGTCTGTGCGAGTGTGTGTGTGTGCGCGCCTGAGTGTGTCTAATGAGGGTACATGTGCATTTAAATGCTGAACAAATTAAAGCGAGGGGGGAAAGGTAATGGGTTACTTCTTGGCACGAAGACACAGAGCTGGTACAGCGGCACCAAAATGAGCTCCCTCACCAGCTGAGCTGACCTCCCTCGCTCGCATCCTTAAATTGGATATGGATGATGTTTTGTGCACAGAAAGAGTCCTCACATCCTGTCGTGTGATCTGTAGCCAGAATATGATTTATTTTAACCTTATTTCAAGTTATTTTTACTCATTCATCTTAAGCCTTTGTAGCCTTTGTTCCACATTTCGTTGTTGTTGTCTATTTGAATCCCAAATCTGTCACGCTCTCCCGTCCCACCAACAGAACTTACTGCTGCTGGGCGCCACGGCCATAGAGGACCGTCTCCAGGCTGGCGTGCCAGAGACCATAGCCACTCTCATGAGGGCCGACATCAAGATCTGGGTCCTCACGGGAGACAAGCAGGAGACGGCCATCAACATAGGTGAGAGCACGAGGACAGAGATTGAGGTGAATCCAGAGATGGTGAGGGAGCCGCAGCCTGACGTGCAGAAGCAGAGGAAACTGTATGTGGAGTTAATTCAGTTAGGCAGAGGGCATCATGTGGGCCGTCAAATGCCAGACATGTCTTCAATCCCTGAGTGAAATGTGCCAGTGTCCCAGTGGTGGAGGGGACCTCGAGGAATCTGGTGTCAGATGATTGAAAAACTAAATCTTCTATAAAGACACGTGTCACGCTCCTGCTTCAGTTACAAACCTATGGCCGATCCAGGATTTCTCTAAATCAGGGGCCTGTTATATGTCCAACATCCAATCACAAGTACTGGTTCACTCAGGACATCAATCTGAATTGAGTTTATTGTGAGGCCGGATTTTGTACGTGACACCAGTTTTTCACCTGTGTTTTGGGTTTGAACAAATCTAATCCCTCTCCCACCCCCCCTTTCGCCTCCTTCCACTAACTGCGTCTGTTTCTCAGGTTACTCCTGTCGCCTGGTGACACACGGCATGTCCCTCATCATCGTCAACGAGGACTCCCTGGATGTGAGTAGACCCTCCTCTTCCTCCCGCTCCCCTGCCTCCATCACTTCGCTGTTCACATTGTGCAATATCTCTTTTTGGTGTGTGTTTGCAGTAAAGGTGCGGGAGGGAGAGTGTGTTTGTGTTGGGGGGGGTCTTAGGAGGGTTACCGTGGGAACTAAGGTGTGGCCCCCCTGGCAGATTGGTGGGTGGGGCTCATTGTGTGCGTACATCTGCAGGTAATTAAAGTCTCTGGTGTCCCGTCGGAGAAAGGGATGAAAAGAGACAAGCAGTGAACTGTCACTTCTCCCCCCCCCTCTCTTTCACATATATCCACATACAGTACCTGGGTCTCGGTGTTCTCACACTCCCCGTGGCTCTCCGTCTAACCTCTGCCGGGCTGAACGCTCACAGAATGTACAGACTGAGCGCGTTAAGTGTATTTATGTTCCTGTTAGAGGGAGATCTGAGACATTCTTTATCTCCAGATTCAATTTATGCCCCAGTTGTGTGTTCTTTACGTTCAGGTTTCATGTGTGACTTTACCTAAATGGCTCGATTACTGTCATGTGTCTCTGTGCTTCACACACAGTCCCAGACTCCCACATGTGTGTTCACATACACGTATACACACACACACACACACACACACACACACACACACACACAATCAGTGTTTTCACTTTTACAGAGTTTGTTTATACGTGAGACGGGGGAGATTATGGCTCATAAACTTTAAGCGTAGGAACTGTGTGTGTGTGTTTGTGTGTGTGAGTGCATGTTTGTTGGCCCAAGGTGTGTGTTAGACCCTGCTGTGGAGACGTCCATGTTTACATCCATCATTCTCCTGCTTCAAGTCATTCTGCAGATGTTGGGTGATTTGGAGAGTTTGAGTGTTTTTTATGAAACATCATCAACATGACATCAGAAACCTCTGTGTTGTTAACCCTGCATCATGTGTAAACGGATTTTAATGTCAGTCATGATTTAAAATTTTACTGCACAACTGATAATCATCACGCCGTCTCGTTCTGCGCCCACCTCTAGTAAAAGAAATAGTTTAATTTGACTGTTTTTAATGCATTTCAAAGTGGTGTCTGGAAGCTCCCAGACTCACTGGTCAGAAGCCAGACAGCGTGTGAAGCCATTTAGATGCAGAGTGAATTGAGTTGGACAGGGTGAGGAGGGTAATAAGGTACTGGGAATTGCCTATATAATGAGGACAAGTGGCTGAACACCAATACAGTAAGCACTGTAAGTGGATCATTGATAACACGGTTTGGAAGATTCTGTTCACATGTCACACTGTAGAAGTAAATAGTTCAAAGTGTAATTGCTGTCTGGTCGATATAGTCTGGGTCAGAGGAAACTGTAAAAGTTGATTACATCGAAACGTTTTTTTCTGTCACCCTATCCTCCTGTTGTTTATTTAAGTCCAGCAGCACATACACGTATGTACATACGGACATACATAGTTTTTGTTATCTTGAGGTCTGAATCTTTTTTGAACCCACACATACAAAACAAATTCTACAGCTCATATCTAAAGGTCATATCTATGTACTGTATGTGATCTAAAATTAAATGAAAGTGAATGGCAATTAGAATAGCTCTCAGGTAGAACATGCATTTGGCTAGGCCCAACTGTCCCCTTTATAAAACTACATTTAAATTCACTAGATCCAGATGTGTATTTGGATCTGCACCAAATGGCACACACTCATAATGTTGGACAGCTCTGGGGGGGTTGGTAGTTCTGTCCTGTAGCTGACTGACTTTTCTGTGGAGAAGCACAAACACAAAGGGAAATCCCCCCCTGTTTGAAATGAATGAATGAAGCACTGGGTTTCTGTGGTGTCTTAAAAAGGGTCATTTTTGGAAATAAATATGTTAAGGCAGGTAAACAACCATTTAGCCCTACTACATACAACCTTTAAGAATTGTTTTGGATAGATTGTAATGTCTCTGTGTGTCCCCAACAATACAGATATTAGCACGTTGTAATGCAACTACAAACAAGACTAATGGGGGACTGATAACAGTCTACAAACACCCTGGTCGGTTTTATCACAGTACACTCGCCTCAGCTGTGGGAAAGACCATGAATACAGTCTCTGTCTGTAGTTTGCGAGATAACATGGCGTAACGTTACTCACTGTCAGACCACTTCACTTCAATTATAGGGAAGTGTAATTAATTCTGCTCAAACTTGACATAGGTCTTAAATTTGATTCATTATGGTCTTAAAAAGTCTTAAATCCAACTTGAAATATGTACGACCCGTAAAAGCACCACTCTACTGAAGAAGAAGAATCTTTTTATTTGACAGTCTCGGGTTGACATTAAAATTTGGGTCACGGGTGGCGTTTTTCATGTGACAAGTCTGTGATGTACTGTCTGCCTTAGTGCCGCCCACTCTCAAGTGGGTGTGAATATAAAACAACAAACACGAGACAGATAAACAAGGTCACAACCCGCTGCAACTAAATTCAGTTAGAAAAGTGGAGAAATAAATCCTGGTTCACATTTGTTTATACACAAAATACAGTGATGACGCTCTTTTCTCATGTGCACAAATCTAGATTTACATTCAGACATATTTAAATTTAGGAGGAGACACGTTCTCTCTCTTGCACATGCAGTTATCCTGCTCATGTGTGTCAGAGTCATGCGTGTCGATCAGGTTGGCTTCACAGAGCTCTGGCCATAACGACTGGTCACTGTGGATATCTCGCACTTAAAATAACTCTTGCCGGCTCAACTCCTTTATCCTGTGTGCAAGTTCAACCTGCGGCATGAGTGAAAACAGAATCTCACCTAAACGTCGACCTTTTGCTCCCCTCATTTAAAAAAAAAAAAAAAATGAATAAAGTGCCCCGCTTATATCTCACCCTCTCTGCACTGTGAGCGGCGCGAGTGCTGATCTGTGCGGTTAATCTCGCCTTCCTGGAGGAAGAAGCAAAGACCACGCTCCATGTCTCCTTCACACCACTGCCTCCACATCTGTCAGCGCCCTGTCTGCACACAGGAAGCGACTACACAGCGTCTGTGGTGTGTGACAGGGAAAAATGTGTGTGTGTGTTAGAGGGAGAGCAGGAACAGCCAAATATTCTGTTTATCTTTGTGGATGTTCAGGAGTATGTTTGTGAATAAAGCAGAGGGGGGATGTTTATTGTACTTCATGTTAGAGATGAACAATCTGGATAGAGAAAGGGAAGGGGTGACGATGGGGGGAGATTTTAGCTGAGCCATGTGGGGGCGATGAGTGAGTGGTAACGCGATCTCCTTTTGGTGCTCCTCTGCATCTAAACAAACCCTATGAGCAATGCCTCTTGGGTAAACGGTTTGTGAGCGCTGAAGCTGTGACAAGTGCCATCTGTCGCCTTCAGAGCACATGAAGCCACACACAGACTGACATCCCGAAGCATAAGATCCTACGCTGGCTGTTTACCCAAGATGCACTGGCACATGATCGCCCTGATCGGCTTGATAGTTCTGTATATACATTACGCTTAACTTTCCCACAATCCTTCTCTGTCTGTCACGCTGCCCGCAGTACAACTCTTAAACAAACAACATCTCTCTTCTGCTCATTAATCATCTACACACACACACACACACACACACACGTTGTGCCTCAACATGCATGCACCATTGTTCTGGCATTTTTCAATTTCTAATAGTTTTTTGGTACACGGGCCCCCACTGTTAAACACCGTGTGTGTGTGTCTCTGGCTCAGGCAGCAGAGGATGTGGGTGTTTGCACAGATGCAGAGTCTGATAATTAAACGGTGTATTAAATCTCACTGGTGACAGAATCTGCACCTCAGATACGAGCACGTCTATCTCTACCTTCTTTTCACTCAGCAGGACTCCCTCGTTCTTTCAGTCTCGTCCCACTCCCTGTCCCTCGTTCTCTCCCTTTTCTCATTCATCTTACTCACTTATTTTTTTTGTATATTTTGTACTCTTGTTATAAAAGCTCCAGAGATCCTGGTCTCTCTGAATGGAGAGGGTGGCCTGGAACAGCATTTTCCCATCCTTTTTGTGTTCATATATACATGTACATATTTATATATACATACACAGGAAAGAGATAAGTGTGTTTGTTCTCATGCATTTTATGGTGAAGTGTGCAATCAGAGAAGGTGACCTGTGATATCTCAGACTGCCTTCATGCCCTGCCCATTCTGTGATCCAAATATAAACCTGATAAAATTCCGTGCAGCAGGGCCTGTGGACATGGTTTACAAAGCGTGTGTGGGTGTGTTCCCTCGCTCTCCGAGCTCAGATGCACATGAAAAATAAACATTTATTTTGGAGCTTAAAAACACTTGCTAATGAGATCTGTCATAATGAAACAGTGCAATCAAAGAATTAACCTTTTCTTTTTTTCTTTTCCTCTAAGCTCTCCAAAAATAGCAGTTCATTTTAGGCGTGAGAAAGAGGGAAACCACACAGGGAAGCGTTTTTCTTTGCTCTCGTGTTTGTTCCCGTTCAGAAAGTGTTAACAGATCATAGTGGACCCAGCTGTTTCTTTTCATGTTAAGACGTTGTTCTTTTGTCAGAGGGATTCAGTTGGGTCTGGTCTTGCCGTGTTTCGTATGAGGCTGACTCTTAGCTTTAAGAGCTAACTAGTGTTTGCACCATAGTTACTTTTTTAATCTCCTATAGCTTCCCTGCAGACTTAGCCTGGTTATTATCCCTGGTTATCTCAGCCATTGAAGCTTTGACTGGACCTGCTGTGACAAGTCACTGTGATGTATTAGTGCCTCAATGCTAAGCAGCTGAATGTTTGCATTCACAAAGGGGCTCACCCATACACGTGACCCTCTCTGTGCCTGTATGGCCTGATCATTATACCAGACAATTAATCATCGGGCCATCATTATATTTCTGCAAATAGATTGCAAAAGATGTAAAAATTTGCACACAAAAAAAAAACTATCCCAATTGGTGGAAAACTTCAAGCATCAACAGTCAAAAGAACGTCATTACCTCCACCAAGGGGGGTTATGTCTTCGCTTCTGTACATTTGTTGGCTGGATGGTTTGTTTGTTATCTCTTCAGGAGGATTAAGCAAAAGCTACCGAGCAGATATCCACAAAACTTGGTGGAAGGATGGGACGAGGGCCAAGAACGAACTCATTTAATTTTGGATCCAGACTAAAGAGTGAATCCAGAATGAAATCAAAGTTTCTAAACATGTCCCCCTAGTACCTTTATATTGGATAAAAGACATCATGATAGTAAGTGTTTCCACTTTAAGGGCACACACATGAACTTTGACTCTCACGTTGGGTATGTGTGACTGTTGCATTAATGCTGCAGTAAACAAATGCTAGTCTGAAGAAACCTGATTCGGGCAGTCAGGGATGTGATGTCACAAACCTCAGAAACCAATCCTGTTACCTTGTAGGCGGGGCTCAGTAGCTGGAAAAGGCTCCTCAACCAATCTGCTGTGAGGGTGGAGAGATGAGGAGGAGGGGCGGGGTAAGAAATGATGAGGAGAGGTGTTAAATTACATTTAATCCATTTTTAGGCCATGAGGGGGATTTTTTCAGACAAAGGTTTTGAGTATGTCATACAAGAAACAAAGGAGAGTTTTAGGGGAAATAATAAGCAGCTGAGTTTAATGCTGTGAAATGTATTTTTTCACCAATTTCCTTTGAAATAATTCATGAAAAAAGTCTGGCACATTTGCAATGTAAGGGGACTCTTGCAGAGGTATGTGCTCTAATTGCCATTGTAGTCTACAGTGTTTTTATACTATAATTTTTCACTTATGTGTTGTTTACTTTGCTTTATGCTGCTAAAGCTTTGGTGTTCATTCTTCTGTGATGGGGTGAAGACAAGCAGAGAAAAAATAAAACGATTCTCATCTCACACGCCATGTACACACACACACACACACACACACACACTAACAACCCATGCATGTGTCTGTCACATATGCATACACGTGTTTTACTCCGCTAAAAAAACACATGCACTTCACACACGCACACACAGCCCCTTTGTGTTTCAGAACTCTGACAACCTGTAATCTGCTTTAATCCCTTCATTATGTTTTTGTTTTCCTTTCCCCTGTTTGGGGAAAAAGGTGAATGCAAACAGGAATTCCAGCTCACAAAGAAAAACACACAGCCTCAGGCTGAGAAAACAAGAGCGGGGTATTTTTTGGGGAAAGAGGAGGCATGTGTGCGTCGCTATGTGTGTGCAAGAAGAAGAGCGACTCTGTTGTTGATGGGGTTGTCTCACATACATAGACTGTACATGTGAGCCTGGTTGTTTCTGCTCGCTGTGTTGTCTCTTTCACACACATGCTGATGGTTTGACACAGGGTTCATCTCCCTGTGGGTCACTGGACTCTCTCCGGCCTCATGGCCGACAATAACCCACTGAGAGAGATTATGTAGATTCTTAACGGCACCAAATGTCCAAATGTTTGTGCACTTTTCTGTCTGGAGTTTAGTCTTCTGTAGCTGATTGCTCTGTTATTGTTGTCCATGTTTCCATAAACAATTCCTTTTTTGGGTTATTTCACTTTGCGTCATTCCTTGTTTATTATGTGTATAAGCTGAATTCCACATGTTAAACTAACAAAAGTGTCCCGAGATAAGAGACTAAGTGAGCTGTCAGCGACTGTACTGGATTCTACTTAATGGATTAAAGGTCTTGTTCAATCTGTTTAGTGTTGGAGTGATTTTAACAGACTTTACTCTGGTGATGTTCCTAATGTAAAGAGCTGTTCGTAAACACTGTGTCAGGGCTGTTTAGTAGAAATAGGTTTTAATACGCGTTAAGTTAGATTTCTTTGTTCTGACATGTTGTAATATGACGGACTATGAAGAGGAAATCAATTTGGACATTTCAAGAATAATGTCATAATATTACAGGAATCCCAATCGCATTGTTTTTTGAGAAACGAAGAAACCCCCTTTGAATATCACACAGATGTAACCAACAGTAACCTCACAGTCGACCACTACCAAACATTTCCTCCGACACTGAAGTAGTATATTGTTCTTCTATTGTGTCGATGCTCTGTAACATTGGGATCTTATGGAAATCAGACTTTAAATCTATGTGTGTGTCCGGCTGGTAGCTTGTAGCGTGCCTGCTCCTCCACATGGAATTCATTACATCTCCATGGAACGTTTATTTTCTCTATTAATCTCTGTTCCTCTATTATCAAGAGCTCCATCAAAACTGCCACAAACTTCTGCCTTTTAGGCAAGCCGACATTCTCAAACACACACACACACACACACACAATTACACTTTGCTGTTATAAATGAACAATGCATTCATCACACTCATTTATCTGTTTCACTTTTCTCCTCTGGCTCTGTGTTTGTCATTTGTCTCAACGTGCCACCACAACCTTGCAGCATCAGCGTGTTGTCATGATGCTGAGAAACAACTGTGAGCTTTATATTGGCGTTCATAATCGTTTTAATGTACACAGGAGCAAATTCTTTCCTCACATGAAGAGAGCCTGTGCAGCCGGCACCATATGTCTTTCATTTATCGCTGGTGGTTTTAACTTTTCAACAAATTGGTCTGTGTGTCATATTTTAACCTCCACGATTTCCCCACAAAACTTGAAACCAGGGCCACTGTCAGATTGCATAAGACAAAGAATCGCTTTCAGGTTGAGATGTAGAATTATGATTGGTCAGAGTGCAGATTAGGATTTACAGAACGTGGTTGGCAGGTTAAGAGGTTTGGTTTTCATTGGAGGCCAATAGTATTTCATCCTACTGCACATCCAAATGTGTGACAGTTGAAGAGATGGAGGAGATGGAGGCAGTAAAAGCTTTTTGATAGAATGTCAATTTGTCTTGGAACTGAAAGAGGGGATGATTATGTCTGAGTTATCTTTATTATGAGTAAAACATGATTCAAGAAAAAACTTTTCTCTGTGTCTTTGTCTTAGGCCACTCGTGCCACGCTGACGGCCCACTGTTCGTCGCTGGGGGATTCTCTGAGGAAGGAGAACGAGCTGGCGCTGATCATCGACGGTCAGACGTTGAAGTACGCGCTGTCCTTCGAGCTCCGCCAGGCTTTCCTTGACTTGGCTTTGTCCTGCAAGGCCGTCATCTGCTGCCGGTAAGGAAAACACTCATTGTATATTAATCCAAATATATCTGTGGTAGAGTTAATAGAAACAGTCAAAATTTACGCCCTGTCATCAAATGAACTGAAGCAAATCAGTCTGAAAGACGCCTAGACAAAGTCTGGAATTTTAATCAGTCAGGAGGACAAGCTGTGTGCATGGAGACGTCTGCACAGATACTCAACGTCATTGTGCTGCTGTGGGAAACATGTAAATCATAAGATCCACCCAGTGAATTTTTTTAAGATAACATGTTGACATAAATTCCTTGATTTTAGTTGCTTTTTGTACCAGACTTAGACATTCGTGGACATTCTCCACCTTTTTTATAGATAGATAGATAGATAAAGCTGGATGGAAGGATGGATAACTAGATGGATGGACAGATGGATAGATAGAGTTGTAGATGGATAGAGAGATGGATGGACAGATGGATAGACAGATAGATAGAGTTGTAGATGGATATAGAGATGGATGGTATCGGTAGATAGAAACTGATAGATGGATATTATAGATTTTGTGATTTTAATAACACCTGTTCTTCTTTTATTACAACACGTATATGACTGTGGTTTAACCACAAATGGTCTCGATAAGCTAAAGGTACAGGTTTGTGTTGTAACGACACATTAGACAACATGTTATGAATGTTGTTAAATGCCAAAGCACCTATGTGCAAGTCCAGAGTAAGTGTTCACAGGACGAGGTGGTGGTGAGAATGTGTGTCCCTGTGTTTAAATCCTGAAACTGCTCATTTTAATGAAAGGAAGCAAATCAGCAACTGGAAGCAGCTGTTATAAGAAAAAATACACAAACAAAACCCTTAAGTAAAAGCTCAACTGAACCTCAGCACAGACGGGGAGAATGTGTGTGTCCGTGCACAGGCCTGCATACCTGCATGTGTTTGTAAATGTTGTCGGTTGCCCACGGTCTGCAAATGAATGAGGATGATAAAAGTCTGTCCTGCTGCACAGCAGGAGAAGTGTAACATGCTCAACTGCATGGAAATGTCAAAGTCATGACTCACTTACTGCTGGTACCCCAGGAATGGGCACAAGAACGCACGCACGCACACACACACACACACACACGCACGGACAAAAGACGCGTGGAAAGTCTTTTATTAAACATCACAGCTGGTGCTGAGTGGAACATGACCAAAAAAGGGAACATGCAGTAAACATAGTATGAACAGAGTGCACTTTGTATCAATGGAAATGTATAATGGCTGTGTGTGTATGCGTGCATGTGTGCGTGTGTGTGTGTGTTCATGCAGCCAGGAGGGAAGTAATTGACTCTCTTGCGTATCCAGCCCATATCCGGACTAGGGTCTCACAGGCCTCACAAACAGCCTCCAGCTTCCTCTCCTCTGCTCCTTTACTACATCCCTGTGCTCCCCTTTACCTCCATTCCTCTATCTCTCCCTACCCCAGTGAGAGCTTGGTACCAATCACCCCTTCCTTTTTTTTTTACATGCAGACCAAAATGAGCATAGAGCATGTGAAGAAAATTAATTTTAGACCATGTGTAAAAGTCGACTTCAGGTACCGAAGTGTGAAGGTGTGGGGAGTTTTGATAGAAAGCTTTGTACTGTGATGTCAATGATGATGTCGCAGTTTTAGGCGACTCCTGTGATGTGTGTGTGTGTGTGTGTGTGTGTGTGTGTGTGTGTGTGTGTGTGTGTGGCACTGTACTGCATTACTATATAATGACTTTTAAGTATTAAGGTGTCCCTGTGATAATCTCTCTGTATCTGCTGTATGCGTATGATGGATGGGTGTGTGTGTGTGTGTGTGTGTGTGTGTGTGTGTGTGTGTGTGTGACTCAGGGGCGGAGGCGTTGAGTGCACTCATACGCATGGGTTCCTGACTTCAGTGTGCGTTTGTTTATAGGAGGACTTTGCGGCTGCTTATTTTCTGCTCAGTTCCACCGTGGAGAGCACCGCGAGGCTTTCATCTACCCGATGCCACTTTACACAGTTGCAGACGCCGTTAGCCATGTTTAGAGGAAAAGGAGAGCAAGAAAGAAAGAGGGGAGATAAAGGGAGATTTGTGATGAGAGGCCTGGGAGACGCACAGGCAGACGCAATCGCGCACACTTCAGACGCAGGAACAGGAAAATACAAAGAGCAGAGGTTGATCCCATCCTTCAGCGATGAGAGAGAGGCCAAGTCTCTGAGGTTTTCCCCCTGGAAATATCCTGTGGCGTGTGTGTGCGGAGGAGGAGGCGGATTGTGCGTGTGTGTAAATGTGTGCTTTTGCACAACGCCAGTGTATGAATGAAGCGGACCACCCGGCTCTGTGACTTAAGCTTGACCGGTACATGATCCTACATACATATTCATAGAAGAACAACCATCACTGACCTGTAGCCTCCAGCCGTGTTTGAGCGTGCGTGCGTGCGGGATTTTTCAGCTGCTCATGATTTGATTTTGTCATATCTTTATCAAAGCAACATATTGTATTCTGTTTGCATGTGATGCCTCTTGTGCCTGCACATAATTTAATATCGTAACATCATTATCAGAGCACTGACGAACATAGCGGAGCTGCACCTGACACGCACACACACTGACACAGAAACACTCATTGTGAAAGTCTCTCTTGAACTGTTTAGAGTATTGGCACCACTTTAAGAAGATCCTCAAGCATAGATACTCGAGTTACCAACATCTTATACTGCACGTCTCTTCGAAACTATATTTAGGGAAATATAGTATAAATGTTTAATATCTGGATTTCATCTATGAATGTGTGTGACACGATGTAGAGTACCTCCTTCACCTTACCAGTTTGAAGAGAACAACCAGATAACATCATGTAAAACTCAATCTGAAAATACATTTAATTACAATAAGAATACTTTCCATTATTTGTCTCTCACACTGTTCATTAGACACTCTCATGTCCTGTACGATGAGAAATCGGACTTTGCTTTGTTGCACAAGTGAAATCCCTGTTCCAGTGTTGGTTTTCTCCCTTTGTCGACGTGCAGTATTTGTTTTCACCACAGGTTGTGAGGGCAATGCTCACTTGAGCTTTGTGCATGTGAATGACAGTGAACTGGCAGAAGAATATGCCTCCTCATGCAGAGAGTGTTGTGAAAATAGAGAGGGAGGCAAATTCAGTTGCAGTGCCTGGGTCAAGAATGCAGCGTTTAAGAATGTAAACACCGAGTGCGGTTGGAGGTTTCCTCTCACAACCTCCTCCGAAGATCACAACCAGTTACAAGTGATTGTTCCTAATCTCAGCTGACATTAGGCGAGAGGCGGGGTACGCAATGGACAGGTCGCCAATCTGTCATTAATCCGTCATATGGGCTTATATTCACACCCACTGGCGATAATCAAATATTTTCTTCTTTTTTAAATTTTGTCTCCAGCACACACCAATCAAAAACATATCACAACTTCCGTCTGTGGCAAATGGAGGAAGAGTAAATCTAAGCAGAAAACCACCATGGGGGAGGGGACAGCATGGGATGGAGGGTGTCATTTCATAGATGCAACACATGACTCCATTAAGTGTCAAGAAAAATACCCATAGTGCTTCAGCAAGCAGTGGCCCTGAGGGGAAGCATCTGTAATCGAGCTCGGTCCTCCATTGTTGGCGGAGAGACAGAACCGGTTATAGACAGAGGATCAGTGATACAGGTCAAGAGGGTGGAGTACCACTGGAAGCTCCCCCGACACACACACACACGTATACAGGCAAGCACACACACACATACATAAACGCATCAAACATGAGCTTCTCGGTTTTTTGAGCAGAACAGTGAATCATTGTTTCCTAATACCAGGTGAAGAGCAGTAAACAGAGCTGTGTCAGTCCTTTATCTGTCTCTCTCTTTTCTCTCTTTCAACTCTTTTTCATTTTTAACTCATGACTGTTATTTGCTTGCATTTCTTTTTTTTATTTTCCCATATCTTGACCTCTACCCCCTAAAGCTGAGAGCTCTATGAATTGAACATAAACCATCTCTACCTATTTCTTTTTACTCTTCCCTCAGAGTGTCTCCGCTGCAGAAGTCCGAGATCGTGGACATGGTGAAGAAACACGTGAAGGCCATCACGCTGGCGATAGGTGACGGTGCGAATGACGTGGGCATGATACAGACGGCTCACGTCGGAGTGGGGATCAGCGGCAACGAGGGCATGCAGGCCACCAACTCCTCTGACTACTCCATAGCACAGGTGGGCTGCGGACGAATCATGGAGTCGTGAGCATAGATAATGGATGCGTGTTTGGTTGCCCACACTGCTGCGGTGTCTTTAGGCAAGACATTGAATCCTCATCTGCTCACTGTTCACTTAATCCTGACCTTTGACCTTCCTTTAGGGGGGGGACAACTGAAAGGAGAGTTTGTTTACAGGGGCCACTCGCATATCATGAGGTCAATACAGACTCACAGCTCTTAACAGTTTTATATTCTGAGACAGAAGAGAAATACAAGTAAATATATGTATTTGATTAATCTTAGCAAGATTGTAGAAGCAATTTTACACAAATGTTTTTTTAACAGATAAAGAAGAGCGGATGCCACATCCATCTTTATTTTCAGCCCATGGTCAATTTAGCAAGGAGACAATGGAGAAAAATATCTGGGTTGGTGTAACTCCTTTTATGTTAATTGAATATCTTTGGTAAGACAAAACAAGCAATTTGTAGACGTCACTTTAAAACTGTGATAGGAGACTTCTATTGATTTGTAATAGATAGATGATTGTTATGTTTCTTATCTACATAGCTGAAAAGATGTGATTAGGCTGAAATAACCTGAGGGTTCAGGAGTCTTGTCTTTTCTGTGTCTGTCTCTCACGCAGATGTTTTCTGTCACTTACACTGTTTTAGTTTATCTCTTCACCTCTGGGCGTCTTACACAACTTATCTTGATCAGTCAGCGTCCTCTCCCCTCAGCTCTCTCCCTCTCTCCTCTCCCTGTGACATTCTTCAGGCCATTTTCTGTCTCTTATCATTCATCTTAGTATCTATGCTGACATTTCTCTCTCTGTCTCTGGTTGGCAGTTCTCCTACCTTGAGAAGCTGCTACTGGTCCATGGGGCATGGAGCTACAACCGTGTCACCAAGTGCATCCTCTACTGTTTCTATAAGAATGTGGTCCTCTACATTATAGAGGTGAGAGCTCTGCCACCACATGCTCTTTGTTTCACACACACTCGCACACACACACACAGGCTTACACACAGGCTTACACACACACAGTTACATTAACAGAGATGTTTTGCAGCTGTTTGTCGACGTGGCGGACAGTGATGGACGAGGTGCCCTTCTGGTGTCTGCTTTCTGTCTATTTTACTCAGGGCAGGCATCACACACACACACACACACACACACACAGAAAAAAACGTGTTGTAGATCAGCAGCGTTGAGACCTTGGCTCCAAGGGTCGACTTGTGTGTGTGTGTGTGTGTGATGCCTGCCCGTCTGTAATGGGGGAATTTGTCAGCTGTGCTCCACCCTCCCCCTGACATTAAGGATGCCAGCAGGTGCAGGTCCTCATGGGAGCTGCAGCCTGTTGCCTACTGTCCCACTCACACCACCACTGTGTGTGTGTGTGTGTGTGTGTGTGTGTGTGTGTGTGTGTGTGTGTGTGTGTGTATCCATGATTATTTCACATGATTGGCTCCCTGCAGAGCACTCTAGGCCAAAGGTTAGAGACTGTCTCTGTCCACTTAGAGGAGACAGAATAAGGGGGATGGGTGTGTGTGTGTGTGTGTGTTTTGTGTATCTGACCTAACCCCTAGGCTGTATGCTCCACTGTATGCCATAGGAATACCACAACTCCCACCAGTGGCCCCAAACATTTTCTCTATCGGCCCTCAGATCAGCCTGTGTGTGTGTCTGTGTGTGTGTGTGTGTGTGTGTATAAACAAGGCGTTAATGAAGGTTTCCCCTGGGCCACAGTCACATTGAGGCATTGTGTTTTTGTAAATTAAGCTCTGTAAAGTCAGACTGTGGTTTCAGAGGCAGCCACAAGCTGCGTCAGGAATGCTTTTAAAACTTCATGCTCGATGGTTTTAATGGAGCCACAGGAAGTACAACCAGCATATTGTACATTGAAAAATTGATAAGTCTTTGCCAAATCATGATACGTTGGAAGGACTTTTTTAAACAAAGTGGACCATCGTCTCTCTCTGCCTCAAACAATTCCTGTCAACGCTGCTGAGGCGGAGGTGATGTTTGCTGCTTTTATTCCAGGGGTTTCCTCATGAGGATGACAAGGAATTCCTATTGTGTGTTTGAGCAACATCATTCGAAGGAAATCTGATCTCAGTTTGTCCTAGAATCACAGAAATTGTTAAAACATCCCACCAGGCACCAGAATCGCACCTCATCATCTTCTGATTGAGGCTTCATCCACACATTTTCATTCAAAATAAAACCATTTTGTTTTGGCTTCATATCAGTTTTAATCTGGAAGAGGGTCATGGGATAGGATAGTGACGAATCAGCAAAGGTTCCGTCAAGACCAACACGACCCAATCAGCAAAGGGTTGTGAGTGTCATCATTTTAAAACATCCCCGTTTCGGCCTCTCCAGACTAAAACACTGCCCCGAAGTTTTCAAACTAAAATGAGGCCAGCAGAGTTTCCAAACTGGACCCCAGGGGGATCCGTAGCAGAGCTGATGCATTTTCAAATGAAAACTTAGTAGTCTGGATGTAGCCTGAAACTACTAAGTTAAATGAGCCCAGGTCACAAGCATTGTGCAAGATTTATGGATTCTTCATCTTCTGCAATTTACAAAATGCTCAGTGTACATCCTTCAAGCTCTACTACTTGTGTATTGGTACCAGCGGGATGAATTTGTCGATCTCTCTGCACTGTTTCCACTATCAGTGCATCCCTAAAGGCAGATTTACCCTCCGCTATTGTTCCTCTCATCCCCCTCTCATCCCTCTCTTTGTGTCCCAGCTCTGGTTTGCCTTTGTGAACGGCTTCTCTGGGCAGATCCTGTTTGAGCGCTGGTGTATTGGCCTCTACAATGTGGTGAGTTTACATCTCGACACGCCCTCTAAAATTACTACTCTTTCACTCTTCTCCATTTCTCCACTATATCTTCCCCCCCTCTGCCTGTTTGACGTTCATCCCCCTCTCTCTTGCTGTCCACCTATCTCTTGATCAATCTCACTCTACTTTCTTATCACTGCTCTCTACACAGACATTTGTATGCACGTGTTTGTGAGAGAGAGCGTGTCTCTATGGCTGCTATCACTTTTCCTGTCGGCCACCTAGTATAATTTTTCGAGTGAGCCCATGTGAGAGTAAAGCAGGAGAATGTCTGGAACATTCACAGCTAACATGACGGACACAAAACTGGAAGAAGACCGATATCTCATGATGATAAGAGGAGCCGTACACGCAGAAGATGCTGAAAGAGATATCAACTCAGAAAGAAAATGAGATTTGAGAACATCTGGCGATGCTCGTGTTGATGTGCTGTAAACAAAAACATGTGATATCTGGAGCATAATTAACGCGTCATGCTCTGCATCCTGCATGCTCTACCCATGTGCCACCCCTAACATGAATGTTCCAGACATTTTTCTGCTGCTCGAACAAGCTCCTGCTGTGTTCCTCATACGTGAAAGACAAACTGACCAGATCCAATGTTCTGAACATTTTCCAGAGTTCATGTCTGAAAACGTCGATTGAAGTAGTAGTAGTAGATGTAGTGCGATATTAGCATTGTCCAGTCAGTAGAAGTACACGTGTCTGTGTATACAAACTTATCTGTCACTATGTGTCACTAATGTGTGTGTATTTGTGTGTGTGATCCAGATATTTACTGCACTGCCTCCGTTCACGTTGGGGATATTTGACCGGCCGTGCAGCCAGCAGAACATGCTCCGATTCCCGCAGCTCTACCGCATCACGCAGAATGCAGAGGGCTTCAACACCAAGGTACAGGCACACACACGTTTACAGTCTGCGTTCACCTACGCAAACAAACAAACAAGCCGAGTGCTTCATCTGACAGTTAAAGTTAAATCTGTCATCTTTGCGCTCTGAGTCCAACCCGTCACATGTTGCGGCTCGTCTGCGGGCCTGACGAGTGATGCCTGCTGTTTGTTTGGGACACCAGCGAGTAAACAAGTGGCGTGGAGACTGAGATGTTTCCATGGCGACCCCTAATGAAATTCATAGGGCCAGAATAAGGAAGTCTTTCATTTTGGAGTGTGCCTGTGTGTGTGTGTGTGTGTGTGTGTGTGTGTGTGTGTGTGTGTGTGTGTGTGGAGCACAGGAGGGCACTTTTGGAAGCAAAAAAGTTGTGTGTTTTGCAGTTTTTTGTGTGTGGGGTATAAATGTGTTCTGACCTGTTTTCTCTCTGTCTTTCAGGTGTTTTGGGGACACTGCATCAACGCACTGATTCATTCAATTATCCTCTTTTGGTTTCCGCTCAAAATGTTAGAGCACGGTGAGTGAATTATCACAGTAACAGCGTAAATTGATTGTGGATTGTGTCACACTTTGTCATGATGCATATTATTTGTTTTTCCCACACAGACTCGCCCTTCAACAACGGTCAGGGAAACGACTACCTGTTTGTTGGGAACATGGTCTACACAGTAAGTATTTTACTTGTGTGTTATATTTTTGCTCCTGTGTCTTTTGGCATACAGTTGTGTTTATATTTTTGAATGTGCACAGTGTTTGTGTACACACCAGCGTTGTGCAGCTTCCTCCGAGCCATTCGGAGTCTCCAGTCAGTCCAGTCCCGTCTAGCCAGTCTGTCTCCTCTCCTCCTCATCCATCTCCTCTCTCCATTCACTTCTCCATCTCGCTGTCTCGCTATCAGTTTACTCCCCACAGTGTCATGTGAATGTCAGTGGGGTTTATTTTGTGTGTGTGTGTGTGTGTAGGCTACCAGTGGCTGTGGGGGTCCTGCTTATTTCAGCAGACATGACTGAGCTTACTATAAAACATAAAGGTTTATTATCACCACAGTCGCCAGTGTACTAATCTTGTTTCTCAATTGTGTTTTTTATTTGCCCTTCCTCTCCCGTGTGTGTGTGTGTGTGTGTGTGTGT